CCTGTCCCCACACTGTCCCCACCCATCCCCCACACTATCCCCAGTGTCCTCACCTGTCCTCCATACTTTCCCTGCCTTTCCCCTACACTGTCCCTGCCTGTCCCTACTTTCCTCCACACTGCTTCTGCCTGTCCCCCACAGAGTCCCTGCTGTACCCACCTGTCCCCTATACTGTCCCTGCCTGTCCCCACCTTCCTACATACTGTCTCCACCTTCCTCCACATTGTCCCTGCCTATCTCCCGTGTTGTCCCTACCTGTCCTCCACACTGCTTCTGCCTGTTCCCCACACTGTCCCTGCCTGAACCCACCTGTCCCTGACTATCCCCACCTGCCCCCCACACTGTCCCTGCCTCTTTCTCCACACTGTCCCCACCTGTCTTCCACACTGTTCTGTCTGTCCCCCATGCTGTCCTGACCTGTCCTTCACACTGTCCCTCCCTGTCCCCTACATTGTCCTTGCCTATTCTCCACACTGTCCCCACCTGTCCCCACTGTCCCCACCTGTCCCCCACACTGCCCCACCTGTTGCCCATGCTGCCCCCACCTGTGCTGACCTGTTCTCCACACTGTCTATATCTATCTGTCTCCCATGCTATCCTCACTTGCCCCCACCTTTCCCTCATGCTATCCCCACCTTCCTCCACATTGTCCCCACCTGTCCCCACCTGTCCACACTTATTCTCTGTGCTGCCCTCCATGTTGTCCCTATCTGTCCTCGACGCTGTCTGCTCTGTCCATGCCTCTCCCTTCCTTTCCTTCTGTCCTTCTCTCTGCCCAGCCGTCCACTGCTGCCCTCTTCCTGTCTTATCCCTTCCCTGGGTTCCCAACTCCATTTATTGGCTGTGTCCTGTTGGACCCAGCCTCCTTGTCCCCCCCCCCGGCCCTGTGTCCCCAAGTGTTGTCCTCTCTTCCTCAACCCCAGCCCGTGACCCCACAGGTCACTCTGTGCACATTCATGATCTCCCATGGGCTCGGCAGGTGGGACACAAATGCCAGGCCTGGCCTCTGGGTGCAGGGGAAGCCTTGGGGGCGTTCCCCTGCCTCCATCCATCCTGACTTGGCACTGCTGCCCAGGGATCCTATGGAACCTGTCCTCCAGTGACCACCTGAAGGACCGCCTGGCCCGTGACACACTGGAGCAGCTCACTGACCTGGTGCTGAGCCCCCTCTCAGGGGCCGGGGGGCCACCGCTCATCCAGCAGAATGCATCTGAGGCGGAGATCTTTTACAATGCTACGGGCTTTCTCAGGTGTGTGGGGCTCACAGTCAGCGGGGCTCGCGGGCTGGCCGAGGGCTGTGGGGAAGAGCCAGGGGCTGGAATAGCGGGGCACAGGCAGGGGAGGCCCCTCAAGAAGGGGTGTTTTTAACCAAGACCTGAATAAAGAGGAGGAGCAGCCCCGAGAGGGGAAGAATGGGAAGAAGTGGGCAGAGGGGCAGGGTGGGGACCTGAGACGTGCACTCAGGGACAGGCTGCCAGGTGTGGCTCTCAGGTGCCACTCTCAGAGCTGCAGCTCAGGTGTCATGGCGCCAGGGATGTGACGTGGTCTGATGTACATAAGCCACAACCCTGACTGTGAGGGATGGGTTGGGAGATGGTCTCAGTGTTCCAGTGGCCAGTAGTGTGCTTGGTGTGGGCTCTGTCTGTGGGTTCCTGTGGGGTGGGCTGTGTCTGGGGGTCCCTGAGGGGCCCTCATCTACTTTTGCCCACAGGAATCTCAGCTCAGCCTCCCAGGCTACTCGCCAGAAGATGAGGGAGTGCCACGGGCTAGTAGATGCCTTGGTCACCTACATCAATCATGCCCTAGATGTGGGCAAGTGTGAAGACAAGGTGAGGGGCAGCTGAGCCTGGGGGGAGGGGGCTGGCTCCAGCCCACTGTGACCAGGAGCACCGGCCTGCGTGAGGACTTCTACCCACTCTGACCCAGGGCGCCGGGCCTAGGTGGGGGCTCCACCCACTCTGACTGGGGGCACAGGCCTGGGGAAGGGGTGCTGCACCCACTCTGACCAGGGGTGCGGGCCCAGGACCACAGTTCCAGCCCATGTTGACCAGGGGCCTGGGCCTGGGTGGGGGCTCCACCCACTCTGACTAGAGGTGCCAGGTCTGGGGAGGGGGTCCTGCACCCACTCTAACCGGGGTCGCAGGCCTGGGGCTGCCGCTGCAGCCTAGCTGACCGCCACCCGCGCAGAGCGTGGAGAACGCCGTGTGTGTACTGCGGAACCTGAGCTACCGGCTGTACGATGAGATGCCCCCGTCGGCCCTGCAGCGGCTCGAGGGTCGGGGCCGCAGAGACACGGAAGGGCTGCCCCCCGGCGAGGTGGTCGGCTGCTTCACGCCGCAGAGCCGGCGGCTGCGCGAGGTGGGCTTGGGTGGGAGACCCGCCTGGCACCGCCCTACCCTACCTGACCCCAGTGGCCCCACCAACCCCGCCTGACCCTTAGCGCCCTCCCGCTCCTGTCCAGCTGCCCCTCACGGCCGACGCGCTCACCTTTGCGGAGGTGTCTAAGGACCCCAAGGGCCTCGAGTGGCTGTGGAGCCCCCAGATCGTCGGGCTGTACAACCGGCTGCTGCAGCGCTGCGAGCTGAACCGGCACACGACGGAGGCGGCCGCCGGCGCGCTGCAGAACATCACGGCGGGCGACCGCAGGGTGAGCGAGCCCCCGCTGCCGGCCGGGGCCTGGAAGACGGGCCGGCGGGGCGGCGGCAGGGCGGGGGGGCCTAAGGGGCTGGCGGGGCCACGTGGCCGGCTCGGCCTCTCACGGTCCTGCCTCGCATCCCCGCAGTGGGCTGCTGTGCTGAGCCGCCTGGCCCTGGAGCAAGAGCGCATCCTGAACCCCCTGCTGGATCGGGTCCGCACTGCCGACCACCACCAGCTGCGCTCGCTGACTGGGCTCATCCGAAACCTGTCCCGGAACGCCAGGAACAAGGACGAGATGTGTGAGTCAGGCTGCCCCACAGCCCGACTTTTGCCCTGACCCCTGCCCAGCCCAGTGGGGCTGGCTGCAGGCAGATAGAGCCCAGGGGAGTGGACTGCACGCCAGCCCCCTGGGGGAGGCAAGGACTCAGATGTTGGACCCTGACCTCCTGCGCCATCCCGCAGCCACCAAGGTGGTGAGCCACCTGATCGAGAAGCTCCCAGGCAGCGTGGGCGAGAAGTGCCCGCCGGCGGACGTGCTGGTCAACATCATAGCGGTCCTCAACAACCTGGTGGTGGCCAGTCCCATTGCGGCTCGCGACCTGCTGTACTTCGACGGCCTGCGCAAGCTGGTCTTTATCAAGAAGAAGCGCGATGGGTGAGGGCCCAGCCCCACCCTAAGTACACGCTCCGCCCCAAGCACAGGTCCCGCCCCGCCCCCACCTTTGCACACCGCCCCGCCCCGCCTCTCAGGGCCCACCCCCGGGCCTCGGAGCCCAACCGCCTGTTGGAGTCCCAGCCGCTCCCGGCCTGGAAGTCGGGTCCCGCCCTCTCGGTGCCCCTTTCGCCCTGCTGACCCCGGCTCCACCCCAGCCCCGACAGTGAGAAGTCCTCGCGGGCGGCCTCCAGCCTCCTGGCCAACCTGTGGCAGTACAGCAAACTGCACCGCGACTTCCGTGCGGTAGGCTCCGGAGAGCTGGGCTGGCGGCTTCGGGCGTCAGGGGAGGGGCACGGGCCTGGGGGTCTTGAGGGGCTCTTCACGGGTTCATGATGAAGACAGGGACAGGGTGTGGGAAGTGGAACTCAGAACAGAGGGTTATGGCCACGCCTGCCACTGGGGGATGGCGCGGGCCGGGACGCAGGGCTGGCGACGGAGTTGCGCCTGACCCGGCCCCTCTCCGGCTACAGAAAGGCTATCGGAAGGAGGATTTCGTGGGCCCATAGGCCGGGCCTCCTATAGGAGGGACAGCTCCGAGCTACAGCGCAGGCCCAGCTGGGAGGATGACGCGGCAGAGGGACCTTGCTGGGCCGTGTGTGCACCTCCGAGGGACCTGGGGCACAGGGTGGGAATGGGGCTCGAGGCTGGCGACTTGGCTTCTGTAGGGCAGCGGAAGGGGCAGGGCTTGCAGCCGCTCTGGTGCTTGGGGAGGTGACCCGGTCACACTGGCAAAGGTGGGGGCGCTGGCCACACAAAGGACGGTCTGGCTACAGCCGGACACTGCCTTATGGCCAGCACTGGGCAATAAAAGTGGCCATGGACACAGCAGCCCCAAGTGTGTCTTTAACTGCCTGATGTGGGAGTGGTGAATTGGGGAGCGTTTGCACACACACACATCCTCCAGCTCACACCCAGGCCTCCCAAGGTCACCCAACCCAGGCCAGAGAAGGAGGAGCTGGGTGACCAACCTGGGAGGCAAGGAACCACGGTGCAGGCAGCAGGGCATGGCAGAGGTGTCCCAGAGCCCACTACCCTGTGAGCAGAAGTATGGATGGAGCCTTGGCCACTTCAAAAGTACCCAACAGCCTTCCATCCACACTGCTGGGCGGGGACGCCCCACAAAGCCTCTCCGTCTGGTTCAGGCTGGGGCTCCAGCACCCCCTCTCACACTGGGCTGGGACCTTGGCCAGTGATGCTGTTGTGGGTGTTTTCACAACAAAAATTCCGCTGTGGAAAAATGTTTGCAAACCTTGGATCTGAGGTCTCTAAGGGTCGGCCCTACTCTTGGGACCTGTCCGTGATCAGGAGGCTGGGCACAGTCACGCCAGCAGCCGCAGCAGCAGGGAGTGCCCAGAGACTTAAGAGGGCCCAAGCTGAAGAGGAGGGCACGGTAAAGGGGCGACATCTTTGGTGACTGGGTGAACAGGAAGAAAGAAAATGATGGCCCAGGGCCCTGCAAGCCTGAGATGGGAGACAGGGCAGGAGACCAAGGGGACGCCATGCCCAAGACAGTGTAGACCCTCCACCGTTCCTGCGCGAGAGAGGAGAGGCTGAGGTCCAGAGAGGGGACAAAAGGAGTTTATTTTCCTGGCACACGAATGAGCCCTGGGGCCACACTCCTTCCCTGAATGAGGGGAGGACCCACCACTCCTCCCGCCCCAGCGACTGGTTGCTTGGCTGCTCCGGGGTGGCTACACGTCTTCCTCAGACACCAGGCAGTAGAAGTCAGTGCGCGCGCTGTAGTTCCGGGAGCCCAGGTCCGAGATGTCCACCTCGCTGCCCCGGGCCTCTCCCAGCACCACCCTGCTTGTATGAGGTGGAACTGAGGGCTCCCCAAAGACAGGCCCTCGGACACCTGGTGGGGCCGCAAGCCCTGAGTCTGAGCTGCCCAGAGCGTGCCTTCTACCCGGGGTCACTCCCCACTCATGCCCTCCCCTCCCCCAACATGGTGGCACATGCTCCATGAATTTCCCACCTGAGTCTGAGCACCCCTAGGGAGAGGGCCAATGAGGGGGTGCAGGGGCACTCAATGCCAGGAAGACTTTACAGCTGGGCCCCTTTCTGCCCCCAAGGCTGTCTTCTCAGGGTCTGCGGGGGCCGGTGTGAGGCATACCCAGGTCTCCCTCGGGGTCCGGATCCAGCTCGGGGTCCATGGTCCGAGCCTCCGGGGCACTGCCTCGGACTATCAGCATGGGGTCCTTGTCATCCTGCAGCTGGGTCTGCGGGTCCCCCTCAATCGCCCTGTATCGCACCTTCCGTGGAAGCGCCAGCTGCAGCTCTTTCCAGAAATCGGAAGAAGGCGTCTGTGGGGCCAGGGTGAGGGGAGTCAGGGGTGCCCGTGAGCGTAGCCCCCCACCCAGGACTAGCTGGCATGTGTGGCAGCAAGGGAGGAGGCTGCAAAGGCTGGAAGCCCTGGGCCACTCTGAGCACAAAGAGGGCTTCCTGCGGCATGACACGCACACTCATCACGCATCCAGTGCAGCTCCAGGGACCTCCAAGGCGACTCACTCCTTTCACCGTTTCAGGCCACGGCACCCCACCCCCAGGGCCCCAGGTCACACCTCCGTGCTGTACAGAACCCCTCACCTCGGCGGATCCCCATTTGGAACCCCCCAGCTCCCGGGGCCCCTAGGACCCGGCCCGCCCCTCCGGCCTCCTGCCTAGCTTCTCGTGGCCCCCGTACCACGGAGCCGGGCCTCCAGAGCAGCAAGGTCACCAGGTGGCGGTGCTGGCGCAGCAGGCGAAGCGCGGGGTGCGCGGGCTCACGCCTCTGGCCCTCGAAGGTGATGAAGATAGGTCTGCGCGTGAGCTCCAGCAGGCGGCACAGGCCCTCCCTGTGGGGGTGGGACCGTCAGGACGGGCGGGGCTGGGTGGGGGCCCTACCGCTCCCCCCCCCCCCCCCCCCGCGCGGGACCCACCGGAAGCTGTGGCTGCACCAGGCCCGGCCCAGGAAGGCGTCGGACAGCACCACGATGAGACGCCGGCAGCGGCTCAGGTTCACCAGGAGGTCGGCCGACGGCTCTGCAGGGATCATGCGGTCAGCGAGGACCCGGGAGCGGGGGCGAGGCCCCAAGGGTGGGCTGCGAGGCGAGCGAAGGGTTCCTGGGGCCGGGATGGGGCCAGGGCTGGCTTAACCGCTGTGGGGCCTGGTAAGCGGCAGGGGCGGTGATGGGAGGAGCCCCAAGAGAGCTGGAGCTATTGTGGGCGGGGCCTCTTGCGGCGGGCAAGTTGTGGGCGGGGCTTCTGGGGACGCGATGTTGTGAGGTCCCGGAAAGGGCGGAGCCCCAGAGAGAGGCAGGACTGTTGTGGGCGGGGCCTCCTGGGGTGGGTGTGTTGTGGGCGGGGTCCCCAGAGGGAAGGGGCGGGGGCGGGGGGCGGGGCGAAGGCCCAGAGGGTTAATGGGGAAGGGAGGGCTGTACCCGCGCGGGGCAGAAGGTCGCGGTCGTCCAGGAAGAGCTTGTAGCCCCGACGGCGCTCCAGCTGCGGCTTCAGGATGAAGTTCACGAACTTGCGGTCCTCGGGGCAGTCGCTGTAGGAGACGTAGGCGTCGTAGAGCTTGCCGTCTACAGAGAGCGGCAGGTCAGCGGGCGGTCCCCAGGCCAGATCCGCCCCGCGCGACGACCCAACAGCTGGCAGCGCAACCTCCCCGCAAAACCCACAGCCCCAGGACTTCCCCTTCTCTAGCGCCGCGCGCCCCCACGCACCGTTCACCTCCACCTCGCCGTAGGTGTCCTGGTACCAGAGCAGCGCGTTGAGGCGGCACTTGACATAGAGCAGCGCGGCCAGCAGCAGCGCCAGTAGGACCAGGAGCGAGGCCAGCACCGCGGCCACGTGGCCAGGAGGATCTGGGGAGGAAGCTGTGGCCTGAGGCGCTGCGTCCAGCACCCTCCAGGCCCCACGACCCCCCGACTCCCCCATCCACCCAGTGTGCCCCCTCACCTGCCCTCCAGAGCCTGAAGGGGGAGGAGCTAACGTTGTGGACCAAGCAGGTGAAGACTCCGTAGTCCTCGGCACTGGTCAGGTTGACCTCCAGGACACTGGACACAAGCACCTCTGACAAGTTGGCCCTGACCCTGGGGAGACCAAGCCCAGACCTCTTACCTGGCGCTGAGAGCATTAGTGGACCAGGGCCCTACCTGTCTGCTCGCACCCGAGAGGCTGAACAGTCAGGTTTTCTGAGTGGTCCTGGGGCCCTAAGCTAAGAGAAGTGGGGAGAACCAGGGAAAGGGGTGGGGGGGACCCTGGACTAGGTCAGTTGTGGGGCAGTCACCCTAACTCTGGGTCTGGGTCCTGGGGGGGGGGGGTCCTCTGACCCAGGGTTGGCCTGGTGGTCAATGACCTTGCTCCAGCCCTAGAACTGTTGGCATCCATGGCCCTGGGCAATCATGCTGACCCTTGACCAGTGTCTCAGACCCAGGATCTGTCTTTGGGGTCATTATCCCTTGTTCTGTACCCAGGGTGGGCTCTACCACCCAGGTCCATGTTCGGGTGGTTGCAGACTGGGGTGTGGGTCTAGGGAGGCCATGGCCTGGGGTATACCCATGGTGGTCCTTCTTACCAGGTGTCCTCCTGGAGGCTATAGTGGCTTCTGTTGCCCAGCGGCAGCCCATCTTTTAGCCACTGCACTGAGGGAGGGGGGCAGGAGGCCACAGAGACCACCTGAGCTGTGCAGTTCAGAGTGACTGCAGTGCTCAGGGTGGGCCCCAGGACCTGGATGCTGGCGGGGGAGATAAAGTCAGGGCTCCCATCACAGATACCTGCAGAGAGAACACAGTGGTGCCCATTGTGCTTGGGACATCTGCTCCCACTCCCTGCACTGTGGCCTGGGGACCAAGGAAGACCTGATGGCAGGAGTGGGTGTAGCTGATGGTCACACCACCTCTGTCCTCAGTTTCCATGCAGGATGAGGCCTACAGTGCTGGCCTGTTTCTGTGCTCTGCCTGCGCTGTATGTGGCTTGCAGAGGGGATTGTAGCATGGGGAACAGCGGCCACAGCCTGAGTCCTGAGGTCACTGCAAGCTGATGCACCCAGCCCAGTAGGGCCATCCAGCTGCTTGTCCATTCAGGATCTGAGCCCAGCCTCCACATTTCCCATGCACACCTCCCTGCCCCAAGGTGAGGAGCCAAGCCCTGACCAACTGGCTACAGCCCACCTAGCCCTACTACAGAGGTCTGTAGGGAGCCTGGGCACAAGTGGGTTGGGGGACTCAGGTGCTGGCCCGCCAGCCCCTTCTGTCTGGGACAGCAGGTCTGGGAGCCTGGGGTTCCAGAACCCTCTACTGCAGGTTAACCCCTTTGGACTTGAAGGTTCACATCTGCCTAGTCTTCCAAAGGCAACGGTAGCCCTTGTCCTCTAACCGAATTATGGGCGAGGTGGTAGAGGCTTTTGTACACAAGTGTCAGGCCAAGCAGAGGGCCAGGTGAGAGAGTCCTCAAGGGCAGGAGGTGGGAAAGGGGAGCCCTCTGACCCGCCTACCTGCCATGCTATGGCTGGACCTCCGGGGTGGCCTGGGCCCAGTGCCACCCCCCGCTCCACAGGCTCCCTGGCCCAAGTGGACTGATCCACCAAGGGCCGGGATGGGGTCAAGGCTCACTCTCTGTCCTTGTAGCCAGTTGGTCAGGGCTTCCGGAGGCTTCCAGAGGGGTCAGAGGGTACTGTATCACAGGAACAAGTTAAACAGGAACGGGATGAGTTAACAAGTAACCACACTGGCTGCAGATGGCACGGCCTGGCATTGATCCTGTCCACCATGCGGCCTTCCCCACCTCGGCTCTTCCACAGTGAGGGCACTAGCCGGGCCACAGTCCCCAGAACAAGGGTTTGTCTTGCTCTCAGCTGTGTCCCCGAGAATGGGGGCTGACCCACACAGGTGGGGACTGTGGTGAAGACCGGGTAGCTGAGGCTATAAGCAACATGCCCACTGCCACACAGCAAGTCCCAGGCTGCTCAACTCCAGACCCCATGTGCCTGACATCCAGGGTTTTGTTCTGGATCCAGTCGCGTTTGTACACGTGCATGCAGACACAGCCAGGCCTGTCAGCCCCTGAAGGCAAAGTGCTGCCCCGAGCTGTCCAAGGCAGGAGAGGCAAATGGGCCAGGCTGGGGCTGAGGTCCCTCAGCGGGTTGTCACTATGCACCCCCTTCTTCTGGGTTCCACACTCCTGCACCCCACCTTGGGACCTGATCTGTCATTTCCAGACCCTGAGACTTGGTCCAAATTGTTCTCCAAAGGAAGCCCACCCATAAGTAACTTTTCCCTCCTCAGTGGTCAGAGACCATCCCCAGCCCAAGGGAGACTGCCCCCCCCCCCACCTCTCCACACAGAAAAGCTCAAAAGTGATGGCAGGCCCTCCCTTGGTCACCTCTTCTTCCAGGTTGATCCCAGGTTTACTCAGCACCTACTCCATCTGCCTGGCCTAGCCTCTCCACAGCCAGAGGCCCGGGTTTGGCCAGACGGAGTTTCTGTGGGAACTGGTGGTACATCATCCACATTCCCTCTGGGGCCAGCAAGGAGTCCTCCATGGGGTAGGGGCAGAACAGTCCACTAAGGGGGACAGTGGAGGCAGGGTGCCTCCTGCAGCCTGGAGTACTCCCCCTTCCCATTATACTCGGGGTGATGCGTTCCCCCTGCCCAGTGGCTCCTAGGCCCTCCTGGGAGCCCCAGGAGGCAGGAGGTACGTCTGCACTGAACTTGGCATACACAGTGCACACAGACATGCACACACACACGTGCTCACGAACACACAACCCTGTCCACACGCTCACCTGCACTGAGCTCCTGTTCTGTGACCCGCATACACACACTCACACCTCACACTTCTCCCACACTCAGGGCCCGCACATCAGACCCTGTCCTACCACACACCTCTTTCTGCTGCAACACATGCCTTGAATGCCTCCCAGACACACACACCACCACACCTGCACACGTGCCATGTGCATATGCCACACGCACTGCCACCTCCCTGCAGCCAGGCCCCTGCGCTGGACAGAACACAGCCCCAAAAGGCCCACCAGCCACAGACTAACGGACACCACAAAGGGGCAAGGAGTCACCTGGTTCCAGCTCTTCCCTCCTGGGGGTGATGTCGGTCATGTGTATGCGGTGGGGAGCCAACCCCCCACAGCGGGGGGCCCCCACTCTCCTCGGCACCGTGTCTCCCAGGGAAACACCACCAGATACAGTAGGGCCTAGTT